ATTGATTTAAGTGTTGCCGGAGGGTTTTTTTTTTGTGCTGGTGGGGGAAATTTTTGACGAATTACGTAAATAAGAAAAATAAAAATTTATCGATATCGTTCGTAGTCGGAAAACGGCAAAAACAATTGTGTACATGTAAGATTTTTTTTTTTTTTTTTAATTTTTTTATAATTTGTTCCGATGTTCATTGAGAAGAAAAAGAAAATCGATTTGCCATTCTTGTCCGGCCATTTTCCGTTTAATGGCAAATTTTCTGTCCTTCATCCTTTCGGGATAATCTCTGTAATTCACCTTTATTCGATTCTTCGTTTTCTTTTCGCTTTTCGATTAATCTCATCACAAATCAGATTGATCGATAGCTTCTGTTCGGTATGAACCGCTCCGAGGAAAGTTTCATCAAATGATCAACTCCCTTTGCAAACATAATGACCACAATATATATATATATATATATATATATATATATATATATATAAAAATCTCTATGAAAAAGAGGGTTCTATACTAAAGTTCATCCAGTATAAGGCTAGAGGGTCACTCAAGATAGAGTTTTACTGTCAAAATGATATCGAAAAAGAAGCTTTGGGATATGAATGAAGGAGCTGTTATTTCAAGGTGAAGATAACAAGGGTAGAGAGTGCTCAACTGCTAGGGGATATCAATCCTCTTTTATGCCAGAAAATGGTAACGAAAAGAACACTTATACACAGACTCCGAAGGAGACAGCTAAAATTCGTTGGATACTTAATGAGGAAGGAGGGATGAGAAAATGTAATCCTCGAATCTGTTAAAAGCATGACAATCATTAAATGGGAGATTTATACTAAAGCTCATCCAGTTTAAATCACTCAAAATAGAGTTTTACTGTTTAAATCGTATTGAAGAATAAGTTGTGCGATAGGAATGAAACAGTTGGTATAAGGAAGTGAAGATAATGAGGATAAGGAGGATAGACAACGATTAAACCTTGATTTAATCTAACCAATTCGTAAAGAAAGGCGATAATGACACTAAGACCAAGGAGCTACAGGGAATAGGAGAGAAAAAGAAATTGAAATTCGTCGGACACATAATGAGGAAGGAGGGCTTTGAAAATGTAATTCTTAAACCTGTTCCAAACACAAGGATTACTTAATCTGCAACACGGCTATATATAAAAGGGAGTTCATTACTAAAGTTCATCCTGTATAAGTCACTCAAGATAGAGTTTTACTGTTAAAATGAGATTTAAGAAGAAGCTGTGGGATATGAATGAGTGTGAATCAGACGATCCTATTAAGAAAAGAAACATTATTTAATATTAAATCAAAGGTCAGAGTTTTAGGCTGGGATGTTAGAAGCGTAGAGTTGAAGTAGAGTTTAGAAGGAACCGGGAACTCAATCTTAAACTGAGAACAAGGGATAGACCGCTACATTTGTCCAAAAGACTGGGAGGGAGGCGTGTGAACTGGACGATAGGTGAACCTATCTAATCCTATTAAGAAAAAAAAAACTAATTCAATATTAAATCAGAGGTCAGAGTTTTAGGCTGGGATGTTAGAAGTGTAGAGTTGAAGTAGAGTTTACAAGGAACCGGGAACTCAATCCTAAACTGAGAACGAGGGATAAACCGCTACATTTGTCCAAAAAGACTGGGAGGGAGGAGTGTGAACCGGATTGATAGTAAGCGCTAGAAACATAAGGGACGCCAACTGTTTGAAGTTTGCGTAAATGGATGGCGTAACTGAGAAGAAGGCTTGACCAATGTTTTTCAAGACCGTGGAGGAGGCAAACACGTCAGTATATATATATATATATATATATATATATATATATATATATATATATATATATATATATATATATATATATATATATATATATATATATATATATATATATATATATATATATATATATATATATATATATATATATATATATATATATATATTTCTTTCTTGAGGACTGACAACAACAAAAATAATGAACACTATTTATAATATTGTTTATTCATTGGAATGGTTGCCAAAATAATGGCTGATTCTCAATCGATTCGAACTTATTTTTTGTTTATTGTTTTCATGTTTAAGTATAGTGGTGGTGTCAACAAGGATTTCTAACATTTTTAGGCATTTAAAACAACATGCCTGCCCGCAAACTCAATTAAAATTCTTGAAGCTTTATACATAAAACAGTTGAAAACTAACCTGAACAAAATAAACTATGAAATCTCCACAAATATTCTTAAATGCCTATAATTTATAACAGAATCCATTGGTTTATACCAACGGCTTCCCATACTTAATACTTCTCGTTTTTCACTCTCGCGTGGTCGTGTGTGACATCACGAGCTGCGACGCGATTATCGCTTCCGCGTTTCGTATACACGAATTCGTCGTTACTTGAAATTTTCATGCAGCTAGGGAGGACTATCATTGTTGTTTCGTCCGTAGTTGTTTGATTTATTGAAATTGTCATTTTTGATAATGGCTTGTGTAAGCCGAAAGCTTAGATGGGATTTAAACATGTATCAATATGGTGTTTTCCTTTCGCCTTTCAACGATAATCCGATTAAGATTTCAGACAATATGAAAAGAACTTAAAATAATTAGACAAAGCTTGTCTATATTATTTCAGGAAACATGCATTAATGAAAAATTGCTGCCTAAATATACACATATTACAATGGCATCCTTCTTGAAATGTATTCTCACGAAAATTGACTTTTCCATAGCTCGGGACTAAGGGTTAGAGTTTGGCGATCTGGGGATACAGGAACAAACAGTATGGAAAGGGATTGTCAATAGACTTCCCAGCAACCAATGGGAGGTCGAAGGATGATGAGGAGGATATATATATATATATATATATATATATGTTAGTTTCGACTAACCATAAGGAGGTCGAAGGATGACGACGATGATGATGATGATGATGTTATATATATATATATATATATATATATATATATATATATATATATACTGTATATATTATATATATTATAATTTTAACTGTCATCGAGCGGACAGAGAAAACGTCTCATCCTATCCTTCTTGAAATGTTTTCTCATGAAAATTTTCTTTTCCAGTCACCATAGCTCCGGACTCGGGGTTGGACAATGGCGATCTGGGGACAGCAATGCAGGATCGAACTGTCTGGAAAGGGATTGTCAATGGAGTTTCAACCAACCATAGGGAAGTCGAAGAATTATTATTATTATTATTATTATTATATATATCTATATGTACATATATACATTATACATATTATAATTTTAACTGTCACCGAGCGGAGAGGGAAATGTTCTCATACTTATTACTATGGCATCCTTCTTGAAATGGCTTCTCACGAATATTGATTTTACCAGACACCACAGATCGGGACTCAAGGTTGACGATCTGAGGACAGCAATGCAGGACCGAATAGTGTCGGATTGTCAATAGAGTTCCTATTAATCATAGGGAGATCGAAGTATGATGATGATGATGAAAGCGTTTTACCAACTCATACACCTTTCACAAATTTATTGTTGCGTGCTCCAAGACCCGGCGCAGTATTGACTCCCTTTGCCTAGAGAAAACGCGTTTGGTACGTTTTTTTTGTTTCTTTTTCCGCGATAGGACAATGGCTGCACGAAGCGTCTATATGCTTCACCTCGTTGCTCCCTACCCCTCGACTAAAGGATGGAAGGCTGCATCAGCGATTCTCCGTTCTTTCTATCGGGTAATTTCAAAATTACCTCTATTTTCTGACATACCCCCGTATATTCATCGCACCATTATTCAGACATTCAAATATATTCCTCCCTTTCAATGACCAGACGACACTTTTCAGCCATATTGAATATTCTATCGTACGAGGTGGATGCAGAAGTGCCCAGTCTTTCGTCTTGACAAAAATCGTTTATTTGCATAAATTAATAGAAGCGTTATTCAATCTTTAAACTATTTTCCCCAACTTTGTATGACTTCAGGCTGTGTCTCAGCTGCTGCTTATATTCGAAAAGATTCGGCTCATGCAAATGATTCCAGCATTTTTAGACAATACGTTTCATTCGAATGATCATAATTCAATTGCCAAATTATTTTCCCTGAACTTTTGTGACCATGCGCTTCCTTTCAACAAAATGTGTCTATTATATCCTATTACGCTGATGCGCTTTTTTGAGATAGCGGTATTTGGAGAAGATCTTTTTAGGACGCGAGGGTAGCGTAACGGTTATCGGTGTAGAAAGTAAAATTAGGGAGCCGTGTTCGAATTGTGAGCAAGGCTGGTGAGTTCATTTCCACCTCCCACCAAAAAAAAAAAAAAAAACTAGGAAAGGCAAGAATCATTTCTTCTCCTCCAAGCTACGGGTTAAATAGTAATGTGCATTGGGTCCAAGAAAAACTACAACATAAAACACGCATATCACCGTCTCTAGTATTGACGTCCACAAAAACGTGTATATGCATAAAAAGTGAATATCGTGAAATAAAAAAAAAAAAACATTTTTATTAATTCAAACTAAACAAGAAAATTAATTTTCATAATTAAATGACCCATGCGGTGTTGATATGCCGTTGAACAAACAAATCATTGAATCAATCAGTAGATACATAGAGTGATAGATAGGTATGAACACAGACAAACAGACAGTCAGACAGATAGATAGATAGATAGATAGATAGATAGATATGGACAGAAAGAAAGAAAGAAAGAAAGAAAGAAAGAAAGAAAAAAAATGAAGACAGTGATAAAGAAACGAGAACATATTTAAAATATATATGTATAGAGACAGATAGATAGATAGATAGATAGATAGATAGATAGATAGTAAGAAATAGAGAAATAAAGAGACAATGAAAGAAAGAAAATGAACACAGATAGAGAGATAGAATGAACAACACAGAGAAACATGAACACACACACACACACACACACATATATATATATATATATATATATATATATATATATATATATATGGAGAGAGAGAGAGAGTGACAGAGATAGACAGACAGATATATAGATACCTAGATAGATATGAATAGATAGAAACAGAGAAATAAAGATAGAATCAAAGAAAGAAAATGAACACAGATAGATAGATAGATAGATAGATAGAAAGAAAGAAAGAAAGAAAGAAAGGAAAATGAAGACAGAGATAGAGAAACGTGAACATATATAAAATATATATGTATATAGAGAGATAGAGGGATAGATAGATAGAAAGATAGATAGATATGAAGAGAGAGAGAGAGAGAGAGAGAGAGAGAGAGATAGACAGATATATAGATACCTAGATAGATATGAAGAGATAGTAAGAAATAAAGATAGACTCAAAGAAAGACAGATAGAAAGGAAGAAAGAGACTTAGCTAGCTAGCTAGCTAGCTAGATAGATAGATAGTTAGATATATATATATATATATATATATATATATATATATATATATATATATATATATATATATATAGATAGATAGATAGATAGAAAGAGACTTAGATTTATCTATCTATCTATCTAGCTAGCTAGCTAGATAAAGTGATTATATTAGCAAAAACATGGATTAATCTTACACTTACTAAGAGATGATTATCCTTCTTTTTAAATCTTAATTTTTGTCCGTATTTTTAAAGGCTGATCCCAAATTTACACTAATGATTTTTCTCGCTTTGAACGCGACAAAGTGTAACCAGGTATTTGCCAATCAAATTAATACGAACAACATTTGCATTTTTAATTATCACATCCCTGATTAATACATCTAATTAACTTCGTATTTATGAACTCCGGCTTCATCCACCGCGAATGCGAAGAGTTGGTGTTATTTTCAGTACGCCTTGTACGAATCGAGTTTGAAATGTACAAACAAATATATCTGAATAAAAGTTATATGTAAATGCTTTAATTAAATTAATTAAAAAAATATATATACATATTATTTGAAATTTTATATTAACTGATTTCAGAAAATAATTAAAGTCGACTAAAATTAGAAGGTAGTTGGCGATTTTCTTTGAAGTTTTGAGAAATTCTTAAGGTTATACAATCCTAGAAAATATGTGTCGCTTGTTTTTTAAACGAAAAATAAAAAAAAAATATGTAAATGAAAAGTGAATAAAGAACGTATTAAAACTGACGTCAGCAGAAATGAAAGTGAAGACGAAACGTTAGATTATGGCGATGAAGGCTTGGTTAGTATCGGCCATATTTTCTTGCAGGAACTGATAACACAAAAACAAAAACAAAAAAAAACGGTGCATCATCTACGTGAAAACAGGTCTTCTCGGGTTCAAATTCAGACTTTTCTACTAGACTTGCTGCAATGCAAAGCCAATAGTTCCCAGTCTGACCTCCTATAGCTGAAGTAAGAGAGGAAAGTGTCTTTTCCAAGAGCGATATTAGAGATGAAAAAATATGGAGAATCTTATGAAGCTAAAATGCTTTGGGGATTTTTTGAGTACAAGGGAGGCAATAAATTAAATTACCTTATCAGATCCGACGACCAGAGTACAAAAAATGTTTCTTAGTTTACACACACACACATATATATATATATATATATATATATAATGAATTGGATCGTATTTACGATTCCAATGGAATAAATTATGACCATGGAATATTAGTGTTTAAGCCTTTTTATTATATATATATATATAGTGTAACCCGGATATAAGAGAGTTGTCGGGACCGGAGAAGAAGTCTCTTATATCCGGGTTTCTCTTATATCCGGGTATGGTGTATTTTATATACATTAACACAGGCTCTGATTTGGGACCAGAGAAAATCTCTCTTATATCCGGGGTTCTCTTATATCCGGGTTACACTATATATATATATATATATATATATATATATATTGTCAGACAGACTGTGTCGCTGTATCACAGCTCATCAGTGTGGCTAGACGACCGGTTGCCTCTAGCTAGGATCGAAACCTGACTGAATTGGCGTCAGTAGGAGATTCTACCACTAACCCATTGGCGCACGGCTGGGATGAAGGTGAATTAAAGCGTATTTATTTTTGGATAAACACACAGTGACTTAGAGAATTTGCATTATTAGCCTTAATAGTCACTGTTTACAAACATTGAGTTACACAAGTGAGAAGTGTGAGAGAAGAGACTGATTAGCATAGAATTTATGGTTATATCTAGGAATATCATCTGTAAAATGATGAGATCTAATGTAGCAATATGGTTTCTCACACATCCTTAATAGAGAGATTCTTTTTCCTTTTAAGTTAGTTTAAAGTTTGTTTCCAGCTTACCTTTGAATTGGCAAACATAAAATTTTGTTAGTGATTTTAGAAAATATTAATAATAATAATAATAATAATATCCTCACTGGGTGCTTCATACTACCGGCTTTGTACCCACATCTAAGCAGCGCTTGAAAATCACTACACACACACACATATATATATATATATATATATATATATATATATATATATATATATAGGGTGTAATAGTTTGTAAGCTTGTCTCGCTAGAACAATTACGACTCAATGGGTACCCCCTACTTTCGGCCTTGCGCCACATCTAAGCTACACTTGGAAAGTCACTATAAATATATATATATATATATATATATATATGTGTGTGTGTGTGTGTGTGTGTGCGTGAGCGCGCGTGTGTGTGTAGCCATATATATATATATATATGTAATATATATATATATATATATATATATATATATATATTTACACATACAAATATATACACTTACACACACACACATACACATATTTTAAAATTATTTCAACCCAAACAAGGCGGGTGTGTCACTAGCATGCAAGGGGTTACTAAGAGTGGGACCAAGAGTAAAGAGCGGTCTTTGAGGAAAGGATAAAGAGAAGGAAGGGGCCCAGGATCATGACATCAGAATATGTCGATTGACATTACATTTGAATATTTGAAGATTGTAGTTAATTGGGAAACAATTAAGAGAAAGGGAGATCCCCTGTCGGGAAGTGCGAGAGAAGAAGCAGTTGGAATAGAAGAGGCGGTTACATTTAACCCTTTCCACAGTGAAAGGGTGGGACTGAAATGCCAACCTAGTAGCACGCTTAAATTCATGCAGTTGGAATACCAGTGAAAGTAGCTCGTCTGAGCACTTGCCATGAAAATATTTGTAGAAAAGACAGAGGGAAGCCACATCACGTCTGTGAGAAAGTGACTGTACACGAGATACCAGGTCAGGGTTTATCACATTGCATATCCGTCTCTGGATTTTGTCGAGGACCTCAAGATGAACAGCGACGGCACCAGGCCATTTTATGGAACAGTATTCAATGCAAGGACGAATGGTTGATTTGTAGATGTAAAGGATGGACTCGGGCGGGAAAAAAATTTCTGGCGCGACACAGAAAACCAACTTTCCTTGCGTTAGATGCAGCTATTGATTCACTTTAGTTTTCCACCTTAGATCTGTAGGAAACGTGAGAACAAGAAAGCGAAGGTAGACGCTCTCGTGGTGCTGGGCATCCGCCATGCTGATAGGAGGCAGGGAGGGTTCTCTACGGTTGGTTAAAAAGAGAGCAGTTTCATTTTGGTAGGCATTAAAGTTTACAAGTCAACTCCTGCCCCAGTCAACCACACATTAGATGTCCTTTTTGAGACCAACGGCCAGGTTAGCTTTGTCAGCGATGCCGGATTTGCTATTGAGACCGGTGTAAATAGTAGTGTTGTCTGCGTAGATGCCTACTTGAGGTCGTTGATGAAGATGAGAAACAATGTAGGACCTAAGATAGAGCCTTGGAGGACACCAGCGTCCGTATGAAAGGAACTGGAGCAGAACCTGTTTAGGACGGCCTTCATTTCACGGATAATCGCCCTGCAATACCGTATCACCGAAGCTTACGAAGAAGGCTGGCATGCCAAACCTAATGAAACGCCTTTGAGGTATCTAGAGCCCCGGCTCGAGCTTCGCTGTTATTATCAAGAGCGTGGTATGCAAATTCAGTTATGGCCGTAAGCACGTCAGCGGTAGACCGGAGAAAGCGGAACCCATATTTTTTGTTAGAGAGTACATCATGGGATATAAGGTGCTTAACCACTTCGGCGTTGAGGAAAGCCTTGAAGACTCTGCCGATGGGTGGTAGGAAGCTGGCAGGATTGTAGTTAGATGGGTCAGAAGGACAACAGATGAGGACTTCCAACAGGATCGCAAGCAAAGATCAGCGAAGCAATAGTTATATAGTTTAGAAAGAGCTAGAGTAAGCTCATGAGCAAATTTCTTTAGGACTATAGCTAGTATCCTGTCACCATCACTTATGCCTTATGAGAGTCTAATTTAGATATGATGTTCTTACGAGAGTCTAATTTAGATATGATGTCCGATGAGTGATCTAATTTAGCTATGATGTTCTTATGAGAGTCTAATTTAGATATGATGTCTTTATGAGAATCTAATTTAGATATGATGTCCTTATGAGAGTCTAATTTAGATATGTCCAATTTGTTACCTTATGCCTTATGAGAGTCTAAGTTAGATATGATGTCCTTATTTTATTTAGTCTAATTTAGATATGATGTCCAATTTGTGACCTTATGCCTTACGAGAGTCTAATTTAGATATGATGTCCGATGAGAGATTTAATTTAGATATGATGTCCTTATGAGAGTCTAATTCAGATATGATGCCCGATGAGATATCTAATTTAGATATGATATCCTTATGAGAGTCTAATTTAGATATGATGTCCGATGAGAGATCTAATTTAGATATGATGTCCTTATGAGAGTCTAATTTAGATATGATGTCCAATTTGTTAACTTATGCCTTACGAGAGTCTAATTTAGATATGATATTCTTGTGAGAGTCTAATTTAGATATGATGTCCGTATGAGAGTCTAATTTAGATATGATGTGCGATGAGAGATCTAATTTAGATATGATGTCCTTATGAGAGTCTAATTTAGATATGGTGTCCTTGTGAGAGTCTAATTTAGATATGATGTCCTTATGAGAGTCTAATTTAGATATGATGTCCAATTTGTTAAATTATGCCTTACGAGAATCTAATTTAGATATGATATCCTTGTGAGAGTCTAATTTAAAGATGATGTCCGTATAAGAGTCTAATTTAGATATGATGTCCAAAAACCATCGACAGAGTTATGCTCCTCTCATTCAATAGAGCCTCAGTTCTAGGGCGGGGGACATCTGTGGGTACTGAGTATCAGTCGAGTGTCGATGAGATTACCCTAGCTAAACGTAGAGCTTTATCAACTGAGTAAGTTATAAATTTCCAACGAAAGTTGCATTTGCTCGTCTGTCAATAAATGCTTTTCTTTATAAGGAATCAGTTAATATTACAATTATTATTAGAGATAAGAACATATATTTCAAGTCAATCTAAGCCTGATGGAAAGGTAGTGAATAAAACATAAAGGCCTCAGCAAGCACCATTCTACATCGGACCTTGTGGACTGGCGCTAGACAATCATAATTAACTGTACCAGATAGCAGAACGCACATTACTACAGGACATTCAACAGCAGCAACGACTAAAGTAGGCAGCACATGTAGTTCAAGGTGCGAATAATAACAGTTCAAAACGCTGGCATTTCATACTTCGCCCTATCAATACTGGAATGAGCAATAACAGCTAGTGCCCTTGAGAGACCTATTCTCCTGGAAAATGTTTTAAGAGAAAGATTTTTGAAATTTCAACCCGGAGCAAGTCTAAACGCAAAAGAGTAGCGAAAGACTTGCATTTTGGATCTTTGGGACAGAGGCTGTAAATTGAAAAATACGGATTCCGTCACAAGATTACGTAAATGTCGTAACTGTAAAGGTCTCAACTGGTGGAACTAAAGAATTTCGATAATCTATTACTATTTCCATGGTAAATGTTCAGATGAGCTCCATTCTTTAGTTTCACCAGTTCAGACCTTTACAGGTAGGACATTTACACAGTCTTCTGAGGGAAGCCATATTCTCCAATCTGCAGCCTCTTCCCATAGATGCAACATTGCAAGCCTTTTGCTACTCTGTTGCTATTTCCATGGCAAATGTTCAGATGAGCTCCATTCTTTACAGCTAGGACATTGACACAGTCTTGTGAGGGAAGCCATATTCTCCAATCTGTAGCCTCTTTCCCATAGATGCAACATTGCAAGCCTTTTGCTACTCTATTGCTATTTCCATGGCAAATGTTCAGATGAGCTCCATTCTTTAGTTCCACCAGTTCAGACCTTTACAGCTAGGACATTGACACAGTCTTGTGAGGGAAGCCATATTCTCTAATCTGCAGCCTCATTCCCATAGATGCAGTCTTGTGACGGAAGCCATATTCTCCAATCTGCAGCCTCTTTCCCATAGATGCAACATTGCAAGCCTTTTGCTATTTTATTGCTATTTCCATGGCAAATGTTCAGATGAGATCCATTCTTTGTTCCACCAGTTCAGACCTTTACAGCCAGGACATTTACACAGTCTTGTAAGGGAAGCCATATTCTCTAATCTGCAGCCTCTTTCTAATAGATGCAACATTGCAAGCCTTTTGCTACTCTATTGCTATTTCTATGGCAATTGTTCAGATGAACGTTCCATTCTTTAATTCCACCGGTCTAGACTTCTACAGCTCGGACATTTACACAGATTTACGAGGAAAGCCATATTCTCTAATCTGCATCCTCTTTCCCATAAATGCCTTTTCAATTTCAAGCCTTTTGTTACTCTATTGCAATTTCCATGGCTAATGTTTAGATGGGCGTTCCATTCCTTAGTTTTACCTTTTTTTTTACATTTACAGCTACTTTCACAGAGTCGAATCATCCACATTTCCTCGGCGTTCATTCTGTAAGAAGAAAGTTATTTTCCCAAGAATTCGTTCCACAAACTCCCACGTGGTTACTTCCCTATTCCCTATACGCAACAACCATCAAGTGTCGAAGCGAAAAGTCAGTCTTTATCTATCATCCTTATCCTCATGGTCTTCACTTCCTTTCTTCCTTCTCTGATCAGATCTCTTCAAGATAATCATTTTAACATTAGACTCCTCCAGTGTGTGTGCCTCGGGAAATTTGTAATTGTTGCTTCTCTAGGATTAGATATCGCATCTGTATATAAAATTGCTCAGCCGGAAACTTATCCGGGTTCCGCCCATTCCGATGCCCTCTACTGGTAACCCTCAGGTCGACACATCGTTCCTATAAAGATCAGCATGCCATTCCCAAGATTGCAGCCAAAAAGGAATAAAAAACGTTTATTTGTGCAAAACAAAATGGACGTTTGATTTATTTCCCAAGTCGCCATATTTAGAAAAGAAAATATTTCCTTCATAGCAAATTTATTATTTTCCTAGAAGCTATATATGAAGAGAAATATTAAATATGTTGAATAAAAAAAATAAAAAAAGATAGAACGCATTCTTGAATTGTTCTTGGTCCAATAAACTTTTCTTTTATTTTAAAAAAATCTATATGTATAAACCCCTGGATAATCAACAGCCACCAGCACAAAATTATGTTTCTTCCATGGAACTGAAATTTTAGGGCAGGCTGTAAAGATTTATCCTTGTCAGTCCTCTGCCTCTTCCGTTCAACATTGTTGTATGCAACCTACTTTTCATCGTCTGTTAATATATATTTAAGAAACGGTAACCTAGAATGGCGCATTTGTCGTTACAATTAGATCAGCAACACGGAAATTACTCATGACTACAACTAATTTATTTGATCCTCATCCGCTGCACTTAAGCTACCGGCAAGATTAAATAGCGATGTAAAGAATTTAATCCATTGATGCATAAAACCTGTAGATAGTAAAAAACACTTGCGAATCATTATTATTATAAAAGTTTAAATCTCTTTATTAATCAGCATATATATACATATATATATAATTTAATCCATTGAGCTCTCGGGATTTTATCCTCCTTGGGTTTACCCATAAGGATTACCTAGTTTTCATAAACTATATATATATATATATATATATATATATATATATATATATATATATATATATATATATATAAAAAAACCTAAATACTATTATTTAATCCTTTTTATTATATCCTTACTCTATCCTGGGCATTGAGTTCTACGTGGATTCTATCCTCTTGGAATTATTTTTTATACAAATATATATGTATGTGTATGTATGTATATATATTTATATATTTTGAATTTATGATTGCATATGTATGTGTATATTTACCACTAATATTATCTATCTATCTATCTATCTATCTATCTATCTATCTATCTATCTATCTATCTATCTCTCTCTCTCTCTCCCTCTCTCCCTCTCTCTCTCTCTCTATATATATATATATATATATATATACAAAGATAATATATTAAATATATATCAATATATTTTAAAGAGAATAATTATAAAGATATATTTATAGGAACATTCCTAATTATTAACACACGGTTAAAAAACTTCATTACGTCACATTTTTTACAGATCCATTATTCATGAATCTCTTCCGAATACATAAAAATCAATGAAACAAGCACGAGATATACTTTAATGAAACGACAAAACCAAACGAAAAAGATTTTCAAAACATCCTGCAGCTTCTCACTAACTTTTACACACTTTAACATCCAGAGTTTTCTCTTACAAAAATTTAAATATTATACGTGACACGTGTCTAAACAATAAAAACATATCCAAACACAACATCCCATTAATCTGCGTCTCCTTGCTTTTTATCATCTTTTTTTCATTTTCTATCTTGAGCTCTGACGAAGCTTTAATAATGTGAAAGATGTCAGATTAAGATCTGTTTCCTATTTGTCCTTTATCCTAGCATATATATATATATATATATATATATATATGTATATATAGCTCTTGAAAATATATATTTGAATTGAGCACTGATGAATGACAAGTCAATTCTATAAACAAAAGCACACCTGCGCTAATGCAAAGCTCTTCAGTAAAAGGAATCGAGCCCTATGTCTGATTGCCATTTGTTTACATTCGTAAAAACAGTACGCTAGTTCTAGTTAGTTCATTCGTTCGAATTAAGATAGCCCAGTGGTAGAACGTCTGACTGACACCAAATCGGTTGGCTTTCATATCCTAGCTTGAGGCATTGAGTTGTCTAGTCGCACCGAGGAGCTGTGAAACAGCGAAACATTACTGTTTGCTAATGACATTATGTAATTTAAAGAAAAAACAGACCACATTAAAAGTTCCATTAGTTATAATTTATTTCATCAGAGATTTTATTTTTCTCTGGATCTTCAAACTTGACTTTCAAGGGTGAAAAAATGAATTTAAAATTTACACTTTTGAAGGGCAGTATTAAGCTTATACAAGGTGAAATACATGGTGGGGAGGGATAGTGTGAGCGGTAGAATTTAGAGAGGGAAGGGTGAGTTTTATTTTTTTTTATCACAACACTTAATATTTAAATGGATTAAGTCCAACAATTATTTCATACATTTACTGTTTATACGTTATTTTGTATAGATACAATTTATTCAAGTATATGGTTTGTTTTTTTAATAACGCAGTATCAGTTGCATTTACCAACCTAAATGTTCGAGAAATTTTGTAGAAAATAATGCATCCTCCGATTGGAATCGAACCTGTGTCCTATATGCAAACCGTCATTCGACAAACTTTTGAATACGGTTTTCCCTAGAACAAGTTTACCCTGCACCCATCAATGTGTTTTCAAGCAATTAAAAAAAAAAAGGTAATAAATTATTGGTGTCCGTTACGCTAAAAAAGGCGGCAAGTGCAGAACAAACGAACCAAGTTTCCATTTTTGCTTTCCTTGTGTTATTCTTGCGTCGTCATCGCACATACACGCACGCGCACGCACACACACAGACAAATGTACATAAACACACACACACACATATATATATATATATGTATATATATATATATATAAATAGATAGATACTGATAATATTAGTGGTCAATATATATATATATATATATATATATATATATATATATATTGACCACTAATATTATCAGTATCTATATATATATATATATTTCAATTAAAGGTGCAATTATAATTTATAAATTCATGAAACATTCATACAAAAAACAAATATAGAGGTTAATGATTTAAATGGCGAGAATACATCCTCGCAAACAATATAAGTAAGATACGCCAACCTCGAACCTGTATACGAATGATATAATCCCTGTTCCTACAGACATCCTCAAGTATGGAAATAGATTTTGTTTTTTACTTCTCGGTAATAAGAGGACAACGAAAATAGAGATGTAATCCGAAAAAAATGCTATGAGAAATGTATTATTAGTTTGGAACGTGGGGGGGGCATATCATAGATTGGTGGGGGGCACGAAACCCTTTCACCGGCTCTGATTGAAATAAACTTGAAATAAATTTCTCAAGTTTTTCTTTTAAAGAATGAGGCGCATTCTTGGTCATTAAAGTTTTCATTTCACTTTTTTAGGTATCCATTTTTTGGTTTCATTTTATTTTTCGACATTTATCAAATATTTCTTTTGTCTTTACTTTCTTAGTGGATTATGAGAGACTTCATGGCTGCCATTTATTTCATAACGATAAACCGAAATATGATGGTGGCTTAATTGTTTCCTGACAAGAAAAAAATCGGCACTTATTGAAAGAACGGTTAGCATTATTATATGATTTTCCGTCTATTTGGCATGAAATATATTGTTCAATATTTACAGTAATGTCACACTTATTATCCGAAAGTTGCACGTTGGATCAGTTATTTTAATTTTTATTAAAGGTGCAATTATAAATTCATGAATCATTCATACAAAAAACAAATATAGAGGTTAATGGCGAGAATATATCTTCGCAAACAATATATATATATATATATATATATATATATATATATATATATATATATATTATATAAAAGGCTTAAACACAATACTTCATGGTTATAATTTATTACATTGGAATCGTAATCATGATCCAATTCATCATACCTACAAATTCTGTAGGAACAGACGAAAGCTTGTAAAAATTAAAAGACCTTATGCAACTGGATTTTATGAACAGGGATCATATCATTCATATACAGGTTCGGGGTTGGTGTATCTTATTTATATTGTATATATATTCTCCCCATTTAAATCATTAACCTCTATATTTCTTTTTCGTATGAATGATTCATGAATTTATATATATATATATATATATATATATATATATATATATATTGTTACGAACTTGTAGCATATAGATTAACCACGGGTTCTAAAAAAAAGGAAAACGTGGTTTCTTTTCTCGGTCTTCACTCAGAAATGGAAGCGACACAAGGGAATCAACGAAGAACAGACACAAGACGATGGATTTCAAAATTAAACATTTATTTATAAATATATATCTATAACGAAACAAAGAAAGAAAAAAAAAGAACATTCATTTAAGAAAGGGGGAGGACATCATTAAAGAATAGAAGGCGCGAGCGAATACATACATATATGAAAACAGATCAAGCCAAACGAACCAACTTATCTTGCAGTCGGGTTGGTATCTTCACATAAAGTTTTGATTCGCCGAAGCGAGAGTTCTGATGATAAAACAGTATCTTGGCCGGCCGACAATGTTCCTGGATTCTTCTTCTTTTCGCAAGTGTTCGTGGGTCCCCAGCATTTCATACAGGCATTTGGTTGGGTTGATCAGTCCATAGCATCCCTTTCACTCCCAGTCGACAGACTTTTTGCTGTCTTCCTCATCTCAGTGGGCGGTCTGACGATTTTTGCCCAGCGACGTTCAACTGCCGCTGGTCAGAGGGAAACTGAAGAATCCTTTTTTTGGTTTTCGCTATCCCCAACGACAGTCACGTGGTTCCCTTTGTCCTTGACCGGGTAGGCAGGAGGATAGGGCGCAAATCACGCAGTGCTTGTGTGATGGCCAAAAGTTCAACACATGCTCCGTACGTCCCGATCACGTGAATCGCAGCAGGAGACCCTGATGGTGCCTGGAATTCACTCATGGTCAAACGCGAAATCTGGTAACAGGTATGAAGAAAAATATACAGAAAAAACAAACAAAAATCTTAATATGCAATTATGCTGTATTAATGTTAATATAATGTCGACGTCGGACGTTTCGGTCTATTTTAGACCATCTTCAGGACATTTTCATTAAACATAATTAACATTAGAACATATAAAATTTAACATGAAAAGATGATGGACATAAGAGCACAACTAATCCAAACAGATAACTGAAATTTTTATATAAGATCAGTGTTCCGTTTAAATATGATCACGTCGTCGTCACGTGGGCGATGTTGTGAAAACGTGTTCGAAGATGATTTCAAAATATTAAAATATTAAAGAAGCTCGATTGAACTATTTTATATAAACAGTTCAAGAAATCCCTTCCGTTGATATAGGAATAAGCAGAGATCAATAGGTTCTTATATCTTTATACAAGCATGAAGTACTCCACGTTACAAAGCAAATCAAAAGATTTTTTGTTTGTTTGTTCTATATTTTTTCCTTCCTATATATATATATATATATATATATATATATATATATATATATATATATATTCGATTCGCCGTCGTATTTGACGTATGAGGTTAAGCAGATCCAGTTCATAGAAGCTGAAACCCCCGACGCCAGCATATGTGATTTGATTATAGTGGTGAAGGTTTTGTGCAGAACCATCCACACTTTTTGAAGGGCCGAATAC